AACAGACTTTACGATTTTCAAAATGGCGGCTACTCTGTCGGGAACATCCGCCAGTCTGTGGATAAATGCTATTTAGGTTTGTTTTCACCGAAGTTACAAAAAATCAAAACTACTTTCTACTGGTAGTAAAATATGTATTTTATTGATGGCCAATAGGATTTTGCATGACATAGCGTATAACATAACAATTTCTCCTGGCAGCGAGGTGGGTGTCAATATAATACTACTTACAATATTATTGTTACTTCGACCACAACCTCACTCCGAGGAAGAAATCGCTATGTTACAAGTTGTGTTATGGAAAATCTTTATGGTCATCAATCATATACATATTTTACTATAACTAGTAAGTAGTTTTGATTCTTTAACTTCCGTGGAAGCCGATCTGAACACAAGTAAGATATCGCTTCAGGCTTCCACAACGCCGCTTCGCGACTCACAAACATAACCCATTTAGCACCTAACTGCGCGGGTCCTGTGGAAATCTGTGCATGGTGACACCATCACCCGACCCCTAGGAGCAATTGACGACAAAGCAACGATTCGGCATGTCGCCGCTCATGTCGAAAATCATCAAAATGATGAGCCGCATACACACTTTCTATACAACTAACTGAAAATCGCTCCTCATATGACGCCACTGCAGTGCTCTGGCGACAGAGTTACGTGAACCCGTCTGTGGTTTCGCTGGCGGGCGGCGAGAGGAAGCAGGCTTAATTTTTGGCCACTTTTAATCGCCGGGTATTAATTAACCACAAGTTTTAAAGAATAAATTTGGTGTTCCGTGATAAGACTAACCACAAATCTTCATATGTAATGGTTAAAAGAGTAACAAAACAAAGTTTAGTGGTTCTTTAAAAGTGTACCATCAATTGCCCCAATAACACGGGAAATTTAGCTATTTTGTAGAAGTCAGGATTGAACTTGATGTCCAAAACGTTGTTTATGGCACGGATTGTCCGATGGACGGCGCGAGACACAGAGGACTCGTGAATGCCATGTTGATCACCTATTTTACATTAAAAACCTCCTTTACTCAGGTAACGAAGTGTAACCAGCTACCTAGTTTCAGGGGAAATGGCATGTGAACGCTTGGTTCCATGTTCGATGTGTGACCGAACTTTCTCCAAAAGTGAGAATATGGCATGCCGAGGCAACCTATACCTTGAAATGAGTTAACCTTCCATCAATAACTCCAAATGTGATGTTCTATCTCTGAAAATACATTTCATTTTTTCTGAGACTTCCTCAGCAGTCATGTACGACGCCATTTTTTACCATCGATTGTAGGCATTTACAATAGGTAGAGGGCTATTGTAGGTTTCAATGGTAACTTACAACTATTGTAGGCTTACGATCACTTTGTGCAAGAGGCAAATGACCCTACAATTTCCTTACAATCAGAGTTATGACTATTGTAGAGATACAATCATTTTGTGCAAGCGGGCCCCGGGTTGGAATTGGTCTTCACGAATCCATGCCTGTCATAAGAGGCAACTACAGTCCGTTTGAGTGACACAAGCGATACCAATGAATATCAAATTTTATCATTGATTGTTTACAAAATTTCCACATAAATATAAATAGTACACATGTTTATCATTTACTAATATGCCAACAGCTTTTTTACATTTGAAAATTTGAGTCCGGACTCCACAAAACAAAAAGTTGTTTGAGAAACTATCATCAGTGTTGGTTATTAAGAATATGAAAGTCAATAATCAGAGTTCAGTAATCAATCAATAATTGGTTGTAAGCTTAAACCCCACCACCAGAAAACTTATGTGGGCAATAACAGGACACAATCAAAGCATTGTGCAAAGGAAACAGGCATCGACATTACTATGTTCAGGTGAAACTTCCTGTTTGGAAGAGTTATGAGTCAGGAAACTGTATCAGTTGTTTAGCCTAACATAACATCACTATGTTCAGCCAGGTGATGTTTAATGGGTAGGGTGACATGTGCACCAGGTGGGGGGAGGGTGACATGTTCACCAGGTGGAAGGGAGGGTGACATGTGCACCAGGTGGGGGGAGGGTGACATGTGCACCAGGTGGGGGAGGGTGACATGTGCACCAGGTGGGGGTGGCATGTGCACCAGGTGGAAGGAGGGTGACATGTGCACCAGGTGGGGGAGGGTGACATGTGCACCAGGTGGGGGAGGGTGACATGTGTCACCAGGTGGGGGAGGGTGACATGTTCAACAGGTGGGGGAGGGTGACATGTGCACCAGGTGGGGGAGGTGATATGTTCACCAGGTGGAAGTGAGGGTTCAACAGGGGGTGAGATGTGCACCAGTAGGGGAGGACACATGTTCAACAGATGGGGGAGGGGTGACATGTTTACCAGGTTAGGGGAGGGTGACATGTTCACCAGGTGGGGAAAGTGACATGTGCACCAGATGGGAGAGGGTGACATGTGCACCAGTAGGGGGGGGGACATGTGCACCAGGTGGGGAGACATGTGCACCAGGTGGGGGAAGGTGACATGTTCAACAGGTGGGGGAGGGTGACATGTTCAACAGGTGGGGAGGGTGACATATGTACCAGGGGGGGTAGGGTGACATGTTCACCAGGTGGGGAAGGTGACATGTTCAACAGGTGGGGAAGGTGACATGTTCACCAGGTGGGAGAAGGTGACATGTGCACCAAGTGGGGGAAAGTGACATGTGCACCAAGTGGGGGAGGGCAAGGTGGGGGGGTGACATTTTCACCAGATGGGGGAGGGAGACATGCACCATTAGGGGTAGGGTGACATGTTCACCAGGTGGGGGGTGGGGTTTTGAGATGTGCACCAGTAGGGGGTAGGGTGACATGTTCAACAGGTGGGGAAAGGTGACATGTTCACCAGGTCGGGGAGGGTGACAGGTGGGGGAGGGTGAGATATTCGACAGATAGTGTGTTCATGACGTCTTCACCAGGTATGGGCACAAAATGTGACATGCAACAGGTATTGGAGTATTTGGTGTTAAAACTGAAAAATTACAAGGATGCCAAAATAGTTGTATGAAAATGTGAAACCCAGTATAAGATAAACATATGTATATTGTGGTATGTATCCCATGCAAGTCTGGTTAGGACAGATTCAACACTTTATGCATATATGTTATGCTTTTAAATGCCTTTGGCTTTATTGTGTGGACACAATATTGTTTATAATTGACTGTTGCATCAAACTATAACACTTCTCTTTTGTATATAACATCTTTCTGTATAATAGCTGAATACTTTCTGAAGTGTATGACATCCAACTCATGGGCACTTATGTATGCCAGTCTTATGTAGTGTAATAACAATAAGCAACTGCTGGAATGTCCAAATGAAATACTGCATAAACTGCACTCTATTCAAGCTGTCTGCAGAAGCCATGATTCAATCATTAAAAATATCATAGGTTGGTGTAGTGTACTTTTGAGTACCGAAAAGCTTCATGTCGGGGCATTGTGGTATTTATGTAATGATTGTTAATAACATATTTTGATAATATTTGGTTACTGTTGTAAATATTTGATTGCTCTCGCCTTGTGGTTACAGGCTCATTTGAACTTTTAACTGTTTAGTTTGCTTTTATAAGCAAACAAAAATGTATTTGCTAAGGAAACAAACTGTCCCAAAAGCAGTGAGGTTGACAAGTGAGATGCAGTTTTATGGATTTGTAGCTAGGATTTATAGAAAGTTCTAAAAGAATGGAAAAATATATGTTATTGTTGAGTAAATCCAATGATCATACATGTATTTGGCATTATGGAAACAGGTGATGTAAGTAGAGATGTTATCATTCAGACAAATAGCTTGCTTTTATAATCAATGCATCTTGAAAGGTTAGCACTACGTATTTGTCAAGATAGCTAAAGTGAGTGAGTGACGGAGTTTGATTTTATGCCGCCTTTAGCAATATTCCAGCAATATCATGGCTGGGGGACACCAGAAATGGACTTCACACATTGTACCCATGTGGGGAATCGATCCTGGGTCTTCGGCGTTACAAGCGAACACTTTAACCACTAGGCTACCCCAACCGCCCTGATAGCTGACGAGATATGGAGTCCAAATGTTATATTCACAAGTGTGAAAGCTGAAGTAAATGGCCATGTTTCAGTTTCACTTTTTGATCAACTTCTGTAATGCTTAAACATTAATTAAGCAAGCCTTCTCTATTGCAAACCTTCACTTAAACCAAAGAATTAACACATTTACATATTTTACAAAATGATTAAGAAAGATGCTCAGTGGCTCAATTAATTTACATTCTTTCACATGTTTAATTCTGAGAACAGTGTGTTCTTCAGACTCTCAACAGATGTGCGATCCAATGGTGGTCCTCCGGTAGCTGTACTGGCTCACTCCGTGAAGTCTGGTGCATGTTCAGGCATGTCAGTGGCTGGTAAGCCTGCTGACAGCCTTGAAGACAAAGGAGTTCTGTAGCAGGTCATTTATTACTGACGTACAGAGAATCATTATCATATAATTACAGCCAGACAGACCATTTCTTCAGAATTGCTTCATACGTTGAAGTTGAAAGCTTGAATATGGAAAAGTCAATTATTGAGGTGATAAACTGTACAGTGAGATGAATGTTAAACATTGGCTGCATTAGACATATAATTGATGTATGCTTGTTTCCAAGAAGTTCATACATTACATATTAAACCAGTTTAATCAAATTGCTACAAGAAGGTGTTCTACCTGGACTCCCCACTCCGTTGGCAACCATCCAGGTACTTAAATTCACCCTTGTTTTGTTGATTTTACATTTTATGCTGTGATAATTTATCAAATCCACCATGCAACAGTCCGTGCAACCAGCATGTTTTCGGCTCATTATCAAGACACAAAGTGAAAGTTTTTGTTAGAAATCAGGCAATTTGTACAAGACTCTTCACAAGAATTGCTGTGCCAGCAAAAAGCATTACCATATACAAAAGCACATGTCATTATCTGAAATTAAGGGTTTTTGTATACACAGGCAATGCATGTCCTGATATTTCATTGTTCAGAATATCAACTGCTGGAGTATTCACTCTGTTGACCATTGGAGTGTTCTCTCTGTTGACCATTGGAGTGTTCACGCTGTGGACCATTAGAGTGTTCACTCTGTGGACCATTGGAGTGTTCACTCTGTTGACCATTGGAGTGTTCGCTTGGAGTGTTCAATAGTTCGCGCTGCCAACCATTGGAGTGTTCACTCTGTGGACCATTGGAGTGTTCACTCTGTGGACCATTGGAGTGTTCACTCTGTGGACCATTGAAGTGTTCACTCTGTGGACCATTGGAGTGTTCACTCTGTGGACCATTGGAGTGTTCACTCTGTGGACCATTGGAGTGTTCACATTGGAGTGTTTCACTCTGTTGACCATTGGAGTGTTCACTCTGTGGACCATTGGAGTGTTCACTCTGTGGACCACTCTGTTGACCATTGTGTTCACTCTGTGTTCATTGGAGTGTTCACTCTGTTGACCATTGGAGTGTTCACTGTGATGTTCTTCTGTGGACCATTGGACCATTGGAGTGTTCACTCTGTGGACCATTGGAGTGTTCACTCTGTGGACCATTTGAGTGTTTGCTCTGTGGACCATTGGAGTGTTCTGTGGACCATTGACCATTGGAGTGTTCACTCTGTGGAGTGTTCAAGTGTTCACTCTGTGGACCATTGGAGTGTTCACTCTGTGGACCACTCTTGACCATTGAGTGTTCACTCTGTTGGACCATTGGAGTGTTCACTCTGTGATGTTCACTCTGTTGACCATTGACCATTGTGTTCACTTGACCAGTGTTCTGTGGACCATTGGAGTGTTCACTCTGTGATGACTCTGTTGACCATTGGAGTGTTGTTGACCATTGGAGTGTTCACTTTGTTGACCAATGGAATGTTCACTGTCAACTACTGGAGCGTTCACTCTGTGGACCATTGGAGTGTTCACTTTGTTGACCAATGGAATGTTCACTGTCAACTACTGAAGTGTTCACTCTGTTGACCATTGGAGTGTTCACTCTGTGGACCATTGGAGTGTTCACTCTGTGGACCATTGGAGTGTTCACTCTGTGGACCATTGGAGTGTTCACTCTGTGGACCATTGGAGTGTTCACTCTGTGGACCATTGGAGTGTTCACTCTGTGATGTTCACTCTGTTGACCATTGGAGTGTTCACTCTGTGGACCATTGGAGTGTTCACTTTGTTGACCAATGGAATGTTCACTGTCAACTACTGGAGTGTTCACTCTGTTGACCATTGGAGTGTTCACTCTGTTGACCATTGGAGTGTTCACTCTGTGGACCATTGGAGTGTTCACTCTGTGGACCATTGGAGTGTTCACTCTGTGGACCATTGGAGTGTTCACTCTGTGGACCATTGGAGTGTTCACTCTGTGGACCATTGGAGTGTTCACTCTGTGTTCACTCTGTTGACCATTGGAGTGTTCACTCTGTGGACCATTGGAGTGTTCACTCTGTGGACCATTGGAGTGTTCACTCTGTGGACCATTGGAGTGTTGACTTTTTGAACCATTGGAGTGTTGACTTTGTGAACCGTTGGAGTGTTCACTTTGTTGACCAATGGAATGTTCACTGTCAACTACTGGAGTGTTCACTCTGTTGACCAATGGAATGTTCACTCTGTGGACCATTGGAGTGTTGACTCAGTTTACCAGTGGAGTGTTCACTTTGGTGGAATGTTCACTCAGTTTACCAGTGGAGCCATTGTTGACCAATGGACTGTCCACTCTGTTGACTGGAGGAATGTTCACTCAGTTTACTAGTGGAGCATCCACTCTGTGACCCGAGTGTTCACTCAGTTTACCAGTGGAGTGTCCACTCTGTTGACCAGTGGAGTGTTCACTCTGTCAACCACTTTAGCTTTTATCCTGTTAGTCACTGAAATGTTCTTTCTACTGACCACTAGAGTGTTCATTGTATGAGTCACATTTACCATATGCAGTGGTGAAGTTAACTGAAACATTCACACTGCCTGCATGGTATTGTGAAAAGTGTGTCGTGACCATCTTAAATGTTCTTTTGTTAATTCTCAGTTATTATTTCTTTTTCTGTAACGAAACATTTGAGTTGAGGGAACTGACAGCACAAAATCAAAATAATTCACAGCAACTGCCATATACATTCATCTGTGTTTCAAAATATGTTTTGGGGCCTCTTTTGTAATCAAACCATGTCTTGTAAACCCTAACATTTCCCTTACAAAAATCATTCACTTTCATATGGACATTTAAATTTGGATTTAAATTTATTCCAGTTTGTCATTTCACAGGGTCATAATCTTGGACCCAGCTAAACTCTTGCCTTCTTCTCTCAAGACATCTGCATGACCAATGTTGAAATTCTTTTTAAAAATGAAAGCAGACAGTGCTATCCAGAATGTTCCATGTTCACAAACTAAAATGGAAACTTCTGTCAAGCAGAACATCCAGGTGTTTATAGACATGCCATAGTAAATTGTTTAATGCAACAGTCGGCTACCACAGGTTATGACAGCTCTCAACAAAATAACTCAGACATGGAATTTACTAGACATAGGAAAGGAAGCAATGTGGTTTAAATATGTAGTTCTCTTTTCTTTCATCACTTGTTTTTCTAAAACTCCTAAAAGAAGTACCTTAACACCGTTTTACACTTACTCTCAAATATATACTTCTCAAAGAAGTTAAAGAGTCCTTGTTTTTTTCATATTACTATACTTGATCTGCCATTACAGATTAATGATGACACTATGTAAGATTTAGGTGTTCTTTTACTATTTTAGTAGTATATATTGAGCAAGAAATTGTCAGTCATTTATATTTCAAAATTATTTTAAAGAAGTCCTATGCCATTAAGGACAGGTGATAAGATGAAATCATTAAATCTGAGGGGCAATGGGGTAGCCTAATGGTTAATCGTCTGCTCATCATGCCAGAGACCTGGGTTTGATTCCCCATATAGGTAGAATGTGTGAAGCAAATTCCTGGTGTTCCCCGCCGTGATATTGCTGGAATGTTGCTAAAAGAGGCATAAAACCATACTCACTCACTCATTAAATCTGAAGCTGAATTGCAGGAGTGTAATTACAGAGAGACAAGGACATGTTGGTGGTGACTTCCAGTACAAGAGGTCACTACTACAGAGGGTTGTGTAGATAAGGGCAGTTATGTAACAGCCCAGGGCCATGGGTCATAAGGAAGACCAGCATTCACAAGTTGCTAGAACTCAATTGGTGTGCTCACAATTAGTACAAGCCCTGAATATATTTATTCATTGAACCCTTTCCCAGGGTGAGCGTTGACCTCTTGGTCTTTGACTTTAGTCAATGGGTTCCTTGTGTAAGTTACTAACTTGTTATCTTAGGCTTTGAGTCCTTACACTGATTGAGTCTGAAGCTACAGCCAAAGACGATTTAATATGCTGAGATATTGGTCTCAGGATAAACTGAAAATAATATTGAGATCTGGGTTTAATATACATGGGCTAAAGGTTTGTTATCAAAATGGAATGCCTGTTCAAATGTCGCAGCATTGATTAGATACCATTGTTGATATAGAGGGATTGACACGTATTTTTTGAGTTGATGGTAAAATACTTTTTGTATTGTAAACAAATTACTACAACTTGAGATGGGTGGTGTAATTCTGTTGTTTCTGTTTTTATTGGCATGAAGAAAGGTTCTAACAGAAGATTCATAATAGAGATTTGAGGCAGAGGTTCAAGTCAAGAATGTAATACTGAAGTTATATGTTTTTTCAGCTGGAATTGTGTATGGCCTACAGATAACAATTGGTTTTTGTAATTAAAATAAATCAGGCATGAAGTGATAACACTTTTGCAAGAACAATATGTTGCTGAAGCAAGACTAAAAAAATGGAATTCAAATCTTTCACAAATTATGTCATACTCACTTTCTATTTACTATTTGCTCCTTTGATACATATTTAGCGTAAAGAATAGAAGTACATTATGTTATTCATATGTGTTATGTACAGTTCTAATTTAATTCCTTTTTAATGTTGAAATGAATCTAATAAGTTTCTACCACAATGCTTTGAATAGATCATGCATCTTTTTAGATACAGCTGACATGATGTGACTGTGTAAGGGATGTTACAACTACCCTTTAAATTCTGCCTCCTGGATGCCTGTGTGTAACTATATAGGCCTATTATAGGTATGAGAGCCAGACTGGCTTGCTTCACTGCAGTGACTGACTGATCCACAGCGTGTGTCAAGTCTCTTCAGCCTCTCCCATAGTCCCGAGCCCCCTTAATGCTGTGAGATTCAACACTGGCTGCTCACCATTTCATCAACTCACAAGGGGTCTTTTGGATATGAGGCTACCTGATTGGTCAGTAGTTTTCAGCTGTGTGTGTTAGAACCATGTCTGTCAAGTCTCGTGCTTCACCAGTGGTCAGAGCTGGACTCTGGCAGACAGGCATGCTCAGGGGTGGTTCAGACACCTGGACAGGTGGCCAGTGGTCAAGAAGGGTGTGGGACAGAGAGACTGGTCAGATGGATAACACCTTAACTCATCCTCCTCCGTGTGATATAGATCATAATGCACCTGGTTGATAAAACCTATAACACACCTTGTATGATAAAAAAAGTCCTATGTACCTTGTGATATAGGCATTTTATCTTTTGATCAGATTCTTATAAGAAATGATGGTTGAGTTTTAGTGTTGATCCTGTCTGGTTAAAAGCATGTTGGCAGAGGGTGTTTTTCTGGTTCAGGAGAGTGGATGTGCAAGGGTGTGATGAGGACTGATTGAATGGGACAACTCGTGAAGTAAACCTGTGTTTAACAGCTTTCCAATTTCTTGTGTCCCCAACCTCCCCCACCCTCTGTCCCTCACACCTCTACCCCAGGGGATGACTGGTCTCTATTCTGGAATACAGGGATTGTCATTCGATGGATGTGTATGTGTGAGCTTCGACAGTGACGACAGTGGATGTGTAAAGTATCTGCCAATCAAGGGATGGAGTCCATCTCCTGGTGTATCTTCAGTTTTCTGCTCATGGAACTGGTAAAATACTTTTTTCTTTTTCTCTTTTTGTAAGAATAATACTTCAAGGAAAATTATTTCTGTTTATTCATATTTGTCTTTAAATGTTGGCAATTTCTTTTCAAATTTTAATTCATAATTTTGTAAGTAACAGTAGTTATTTTATTATCAAGAACCAATCTATGAACAAAAGCCCTGTAAAAATACATGAGATAAATCTTTTCCTAAATCAATCAACAGAAAAAATTTCATTGAAATATAATGACTTAGATATGTTTGGTTATAAATTTCTACTTTACAGCACTTAAATCTGATGGTGTTATTTCATGGGCTATGTAAAGTGTTTCAGTACTGTCATTGATATGGTTGCATACAATGCTTTGGTTATGAAGAGGTAGTTATCATTTTTTCCTTAATGGATTATGTACTCCCATTTAGTTTAGAATTGTATTTGTTAAAAAATATACCCCGGGGGGACTAACATTAAGATATAGTAAGGAAAAAGAAACACACAGAGGCCCCAGTAATGGTGTGAAATCTTTTCTTTAGATGTGATAAAACCTGTGTCAGGGTACATAATAGTGAATCAGCCTGTGTCTGTGGACCGATATGCTTACTTTAACACAAAGAGTGCATTTCCCCTTCTCTTAAGTGTTAAATGTCCTTTGATCATCTGCGCACTGTCGACAGGCTATCTGCCAACTTCATACACATAGAGCACTGTATTGTCAAAACATGCCACAAGCCTGCCCTGATGTTGTCATTATCTA